GAGAGAGAGAGAGAGAGAGAGAGAGAGAGAGGAATAAAGTTGTATTCATGTCTTTTCATGGAGATGCAGGTGAGGCCACAAACAATAGGCCAAGCAGGTAGAGTGGGTGGTGTGAGCCCAGCAGATATTACTGCCCTGCTCATCTGCCTCGAAAGCGACAAGAGAAAAGCACAAGAAAGGAAAAAACTTGAGATGCTTGCTTCTGCTGCAGCCATCGCTAGCCAGCATGATTCTCCTGTGTCTGCTGCTCCCGTGACCCAGTCCTAATTTTGTGCCAAATGTATTTGCCAAATCTAATATGTATCATATTGTGATATAAATTTAAATTATTGAATGGACATTTTTTAGTTCTTCTCAAGCCTATCTGCACCATCAGCAGGTTCGGCCACGTTCTGAGTTGCATGTTTACTTGCTTTTTGGAGTCTGGCTAGAAACCTGTTCGGCATCCCTACGTATTTATGTCAGTTTTGGAATTGAGTTCCATGAAAGAACCGTGCTTTTGCTTTGGATTAAAAAGTATGTCTTTTAATTTCTCACACACAAATCAGTAGTCTTTTCTGTTTGTGCAGTGTCAAAAGTGGCCTTTGAAGAAGTCGCTGACACGGCATTATGGAATCACATAAAAAGCTGCTGACATGCATGTCAGACGCATTTTTGCAGCAGCATTCCGGGGATGCCTCAATCTAAGAAACAGGTGATTCGGAGTTGCAATGTGTAGTGGTAGATCAATAGAGAAAGTAATGGCCATAGAAAATCAATGGTGGTCATAAGCATCATCACTTCTTATCTAATGATGCATGGTGATGGAGAGGAGGGACCTCCCAGACATGACCCTAGGGCTAGCTTCCACTCCCTATCTATGATCTTCTGTGATCCAATGGTCTATGATTTTTCCTTGTAGGTGCTAGCTTCCACTCCGTATCCATCACTTAGGTGGTGATGATCCAATGGTCTATGATTTCCTTGTAGTCCATGGATATTTGTGGGGAATGCTGATGAACCAATGGTCTATGATTTCCTTGTAGTCTATGGATATTTGTGGGGAACTGCTTTCTTTGAGCCAGCCTTCACAATAGAGGTCAGGAAGAACGGTGGTGGTCGAATGGATAGAGGGAAAATATCTCTGTACCCTCCATTTTTTATATCCATTTCGTATGAGATTTAAGGATTCAGAATATGACTTGGAGCATAGGGTTTTTATTTTTTCTATCTTCCAACCTTTTTGGACCTCTTTGACCATGTACTTTTTACTCAAGATATAATAAATGACACCCTCTCAATAACTTTTTCCTTTTTGTTTTCGTCTTCGTCACTCGTCACCATTTCTTTCTCAAAACAGTCTCACAAATATCCGAAATACCATCTCTCTTAAAACAGATCTCTCTCTCTCTAAACTTCATCTCTCACTCTCTATCCAATATCCAAACTCTTGTAGAAAGGAAAAAACCCTTTTTGTACATCTAGATTCTATAGCTTCCCCCGATGATCACCCAAATCACAGTCCCAATAGATATGAAGGACCCCTATTTTGCTTTCACAGCCCAAGAGCAAAGCTCAAAGGCATGGCATGGTGCTTCTCCTCATTTCTCAAAAATGGGACAGATTAAGCCCCTCTTACACGAGCAAACCCACATGCCCAAGGTCCAAGCTCAAATCAACTAAGAGGTGGGTTGAAATCATCTTTCCACAACAATTTGGTTATTTGAGAGAGAGAGACGGTTGGAGAGAGAGATGGTGTTTTGGGTATTTGAGAGAGAGAGAGAGGTGTTTTAAGAGAATCGAGGAAGTTGACAGGGAATTTTGTTGAGAGGGTATCATTTTATTAGTTTTTTGAGTAAAAAATACCTGGTCAAAGGAGTCTGTGGGTTGGAGGATAGAAAAGATAAAAATTCTATGTTACAAGTTATATTATGAATTTTTGGGTCGAATGAAAAATGGATGTCAAAAAAATAGGAGGTGCGGAGATATTTTACCAATATATAACAATGGCTAAATACTATATATATCTCTTGTAGATGATTTTATATAATAATACAATAATAAATAAAGTCAAGATTCTATGCGCCCTTGGGAGTCAGCTTTCCATTTAGTCCCTCGAGTACAACAAAATCTAAGCGTATGATTAGGATCCCAAATTTAGGGGACATAACCTCTTCATCCTGGAAACTAACTTTGAAAAAATACCAAAAAGCAGACCGCTCTCTATTTGTGCTTCGAAAATATAATGACTCAAGATTGAACAAAGATTGTATAGGTTTTGGAGGATGATATTTAAGTGCCGAAGAACTGAAAATCCTTTTGTTTTTTAAAGATAATCATCTAGTGATTATTGGGTGGATACCAAATTTTTTTTTATCAAAACAACCCTATGAAGTAGCTCTATGCCCCAGGGAGCAAGTGTATAATATGCTAGTCACGGGACCATAATGCACTTGCTCATAAATAAAAGGATACTTATCACAAATATCACATTTTTCTAGAAATTCCAAAAAATACCAAATTTTTTCTAGAGGACCGGTTTTGGTGAGTCAGTAACTCGTCAAAATATATGCGCCATCTTACGCATTAGACTTCCATCTTAGAGATGGACGTCCAAATAAAAGGTACCTCCACTGGAGCCTAATATCAATGTTTTAAAAACCGGTGATTTTCGATCTAGTTTGGATGGGATTCAGTTAGGACCGAACTAGTTTAGGGATGGCATGGGTTCTGGCTTGTTCCCTCTTCAAAACCTAAAAACAAAAATCCCCCTTATATATGTATATGGATAAAGTCTACCCTGAACAAACCTTAAAAAATCACTAGAAGATGATGTTTGAATGCTAAAAAATCTTCAAATTGATCATCTCAACCTCAAGATGTATGGACATGAAACAAAAAAATTTCAAATCTTGAAAATAGTGCACCTTATAATGCATTTTTGGACAGTTAATTTTCAAGATTTTCAAGTGTTCATAGATTGATTCAATCCACACTATTTTTTAAACTTTTAAATTTTATAATTAGAGATGAAAATAAATATATACATTCACATACATATATTAAACTTATCTAATGTTTTCTGAGGCCCCCCTCTAAATCTTAATGCCATAAGCCCTATTTTTATTTTATTTTATTTATTCATAATATTTTTTGAGTCATTGAATTGGACAGATCTAAACTTGATCTAGATCACGAAACCAATGATCCGACACAAATTTGTGAGTTGAACCATCCTCCCCACCAATCCGGGTTGTAAAATATTGGTTAAAATGGATGGCGGAAAAAAAGAATATAAAAATAAACAGTTGTACCCTTTTTTTATAAAAAAAAAAAAAACATCTAGATTCATTATCATTATCATAGTTTAGATTAACAAACTCCAAAATTTAGGATTTAAAACCCATCGTTAAGATGATTTTGAAAGGGGGCAAAAAATCAACAAGTGAGTTGGCCGATTCACCAAGTACTTTCTAAAACTACATCCATAACTATTTTCTCTCACTTAGATTTTTATTCTTTTTAAAAATTATCTTTCATGCATCATTGTTCGAATAGAATCATGATACACCATTTGCCCTCTCTCTCTCTCACTTCTCAGAAGCCACGGTAGTGCTTTGAGCACCATGGCATGGCAAGTGCAGTGATGCTCAATGCACCATGTTTGTGCTTTGAGTACCGAAAATGCTTCTCCATTGTTTGTTGTGTTGTATGGAAGGTAGTTGAGGTGCATGTTTCACTGATATATGAAACATTTTTGTAAATATATAAGTTACAAAAATCATTTAGGGTTCATTTAGATTCTAAGGTCAACAAAACCATTTTTTGGATCATGGTTATGCAAACCCTGGTTATGCCGGACATAGTTATTGAGAAATGATTGTTTGGATAGCTTGTAGATACTACCCCGGTTATGCAAATCCCTCGTTTGGATCATCTATTTGTGTGACTTGGGTTTACAGTTTTACACTATTTAAAACACATTTGGTAAGTACGAAACATTTTCGTGCAAAATACTTTAATGTGAAATTACTTTACACATATTTGGTATGCAACAATACATATAAAAAGTTTTCCCATTATAAATTTTTTTATCCAAATTTAGAGAGAGAACTATACTAAATTTTTGAGAGACTAACTAAAATTTTTTAGAGAGAGAAACTATCACAAATATTTTGAGATAGTTTCTCTCTCTAAAAATTTGAAATTTCATATAGTTGAAAATTTCTTTTTAAAAATTTTGAGATAGTTTCTCTCTCTAATTTTTTTTTAGGTAATCTCTTTCTCTAAGACTAGATATAGTTTCACTCTCTAAAGTTTTAAGATGCTTTGTCTCTCAAACTTGAAATTTGATATAATACCTCTCTCTAAAACTTTGGAGGTAGTTCTTTCTCTTAAAAGTTTTAGGTCGTTTTCTCTATAAATTTTTATGTAGTTTTTTTCTCTAAAATTTAAACTTTGAGATAGTTTGTATCTCTAAAATTTGTAAGATAGTTACTTTAAAAAATGTAGGTAGTTTTTCTCACTAAAATTTGATATAGTTTTTCTCTAAAAATTTAGGTATTTTGTGTCTCTAAAATTTTAAGACACTTTCTCTCTAGAACTTGAAATTTAAGATAGTTTCTCTATCTAAAAATTTTGAGATAGTTTCTCTCTTTAAAATTTTGTAGATAATCTTTTTCTCTCTCTCTCTCTAAAATTTTAAGATACTTTCTCTTTCTAAAACTTGAAATTTTGAAATAGTTTCTCTTACTAAAAAATTTCAAATATGTATCTCTCTAATAAATTTTAGGTAATTCTCTCTCTAAAATTTGATATAAAACTAAGAAAGATACAAAAAATATCTACTAAAATATGAAAAACATATAAAGAATAATTAAAACAAAAACACATTCAAATGAAGTTGAGAATTAATGAAGAAAATGGATTTTAAAGGTGCCTAAGGGTATTTTTAAATTTTTTTGAAAACGATGGACAAATATAAAAGGGAGTATTAGTAACCAAAACAATTTCTAATCTTTTTCATAATATAAAAAATATTAAAAAATATATTACAAATCAAATTTTTTATTTTTAGGATTTTTTATATATTTTTTTGAAATTATTTTCTTTTAAATATCGGTCGATCACCGAAAAACCGGGTGATTACTGGTTAGATCGTCCAGTTCTTCCAACATGGTCATTCACTCTTAGGTAGCTATGCATTTTGCAACTCTTGTACTCTTAAATTGGAATCACATGTTGAACATGATAAGACTTTGGAATAACATGTTCCTATTATGATTTTTTGTGTTATAAAAGCTTTTCTTTACATAACATTTGATTAATAAACTTGTAGGTTTGGCTCTATATGAAAGACGGTACAATAAACTAGTAGGTTTGGCTCTATATGAAATATGGTACAATAAACTAGTAGGTTTGGCTAATATGGTGGGGCATTGGAGGAGACTAAAGAGGTAAATTAGAAATTATGTAATATTGTAATATTTTTCAAATAATTACTTAATAATGGTGGTGGATGAATATTATAGATAATGTTATTTGCATGTTTATCATAAGAATATTATAATGCAAAAAAACCATCAATGTCAAAGTAGGATGTTATGAGTTACTAGTAAAACAATAGTATTAGCTGCATAACTAATACAGATCTTTTGTGTATTTTCTTCATAAATATAAAATAGTAGAATTTTTAATTTTTAAAATGAATAATTTTTCAGTTACATATGCCATATACTATCTTCAAAGTTGAACTGAAGTTAGAACAAAACCACATAGAACCTTTGCTTGAATTTAATCAAGAATCAGATTGAGTTTTAAAATAGGACAAATAGTGAGATCATTTTTTTTAAAGAGTAATGATCCTATTCCATATCCATGTGTGTAGGACCCTAAAAGATCACCATTAAATTTGACATAGATATCTAAAAAATCAAATCTCACACCCATGCGATAACTTTTTTAGAAATCTGTACGAAATTTAATGGTGATTCTTTGAGGTCCTATATACATGGGTGCGGAAGAGTCTCATAGGATCATTACTCTTTTTTAAAACAGGGCAAAACTATCTTTAAAAAAAAAGATTACCAGTCCGCTACTGGGAATTAGTTGGATTGTGTTGACGCGGATAGAGTGGTGTGTTTTCTCGAGTGAAACATTAGTCATTGGATTAGATTAATCCAACGCCAAAATTTTAATTTAAACATTGTCGAGTTCAAAATTTTGTTATAAATACTAGGAACCCGCCACCAAGTTCCCTAGGTTTCTCGTGCAAAGCACATC